TGAGCTGTATCTCTGCTCCTTGTACAACTCCAAAACAGCGACTGTTAAATACATGAAATGGATGCACACTACGGGATTTTAGCTACATTTTCTAACTCAAAACAATTAAAACAGGGAAAAACTGAGTTGAAACATGAGTTATTTTACAAGTTCAACTCTGGTAAAATGCAGGGAAATTCTACCTGGAAAAATCTAATGGTGTACACGAATGTATTCAGATCTGTATATGTTATATAAAAACAATCTATCAAAGATCCAATCTGTAATCTTCTGCATGTATATGTGACGTCTAAAAATTTATAGTCACAATTGTTAAAATGTTTTGTGTATTAGCCAGGGAAAAAGGTCAAATGTTAATGAATTGTTACAAGATATTGAAGTACTAATTTTGAAAGTGCAATTTCCCAGTTGTGCCACAAGAGGGTGTGTCCACCTTGGTGAGCGCTAGTAGGGCTGCGTGAGGCTTCTGCTCTATATATAGAGAACAGCAGTCCTGCACAGCCATCACAAGTCTCTGCTTTTCCTCTACAAAACAGGTTAGTGGTGTGTCATATCTTGTCACAATGCATTTTGAAAACTTTTGAAACCTTCATTATGTTGTTTTATAGACTTGTTTTAGACTCTCACATTTGACATCTGTCATTTAAAACTATAAATATGATACAAATGTGAAACTTTAAAACAGCGACGGTTCAATTCATGAAATAGACGGACTGCACGATTTTATCTACATTTTCTAACTCAAAACAATTCAAACAGGGAAACTGAGTTCTGTTATAGACAAGTTCAACTCTGTGGTAAAACTCAGGGAAATTCTAGATAATTTACAAGAAACAACATGAAAAACCCCAAATATTTCATCTAATGGTAGACAGATATTGCCAACAATGACCTACACCAAACAAAGGTTATACAAGTGCTTCTGTAGGGAACAACTTTTATATGCTGTTGTAATCTGAACAACAATTGTAATCTGAAAATTGACTAGTAACTGAAGATGTCAGTCCACAAATATAGTGGAGTAAAAAGTACAATATTTGCCTCTGAGATGCAAGTGGTAATAATAGTAAAGTACTAGTACTTCAGTAAATGTACTTAGTTACATTCCACCACTGTAAACTAGTAAATGTGGATACAGTAGGATCAGTGTGACATCTTGTGGTGCATTGCTGAAGTTGCAATAATTTATTTAAACTAACTCATGCTCCTAACTGGCACCACGTGGTAAAGTGAGCAATGAGTTTTAAAGACTCTAGTTACATCCTGGTTCTTCAATCTCTTACACTGTCAGCAGTTACTTCTTTAATTTGGTACCAAACACTTGATAAAAATGTGAATTTTCCTTTTCTTAAGATGATTACTTCAACTCCTTACCAATCAATTGTTTACACTCCATTACATTTGTGTGCTTTAGTTACTTTTCAGGTTACAATTTTTCATACTCTTCCAGTATCCAGTGAAAACCACATATCTCTTTGTTGTTCTTTTATGTGTTGAGATTCTCTTGTTTCTTAAGTTAAAGGTTCAGTGTGTAACATTGAGGAGGATTTATATTAGTTAATCTGGAATCATATAAAACCACATGAAATGTTGTTTTTCAACAAGTCTACAGTTCAGATTACTATCAATGTCCTTTCGGGAGTGAATTCAATATTTTCTAAATGGTTACTACATTCCTCAGGTTTATCACCGAAGAAGTAGGAGACAACAAGAATGTCTAGGAGTTGTTTTTTTACCTAATTCTTCCGGGTTTTTGCTTCAAACCGCACAGGGAAATATTGAACTTGTTACACCACTTCATTTATTTTTTAAGCAGTTGTTAAAAGTTACTTCCCAAATTTAACATTTTAAAACAAAATATCAAACCAGTTTATACAATACAAAACAATGTCAAGATTAAACTACTGAACAACATTTCAAATCTGCTCCAACTTGACAAGCTACAATATTACATTATTACATTATTATATTATTAGATTACATTTTAAAGAAACACTTGACATTGTATGGTGTTGGTCATGTTGCTTTATATATATATGTATATATATGCATAGTTTGGCCTATTTTATTCAGCTTGTTGTCCTTCACATGAACCTGGTGTCCTCAGTGGTAACTATATGGGCTGGCTTGTATGAAGGCTGTATAACAGCCCCATGCTTGATTTTACTGTGTCTGTTTCTGTCTCACTTTCTATTGGAACTGTGTGCAACATTGAGAGCAACAAAAAGAAAAAACAAACAAACAAACAACAGTATCCAAGGTGGTGATACGTTTCTATTTGTCAAACATACAGGCTGGATGGATGATGGTAATTTTGTCATCTACGGCTGGAAGCCTGTGCGGGCTTCAGACACTTATAGATCAGATGTTTTCCGCCTGGTCATGCAGGAAGACTGCAACCTGGTCATGTACAACCAGGATGAACAACACAGGTGGCACACAAACACACATGTGGATGGTGATTTCAGGAGCCGTCTTCAACTGACCGATGACGGCATGATGATGACGATGACGGTGTACAAGGAAGGGGAAGAACTTTGGAGGTCTGCTAACTCCAGATGAATGAAATGAAGTCATGACATTACAAGCCTTTTTAAATTGATTGCTCTGCAAGTGAAAGTCATGTTTGGATGTCAGTGTGAATTACAGTAAACCTGACTGCCATGTAATCTGGAATCAAATAAAAACACGTTAACAATGTATAAATGTGTCCTCCCCTCCCCCTCCCTCTGGCCCTCAACATGATGTAAAAAAAAAAAGTATAATCAAGCTTGCAAGATTAATATGATGTTTATGATGTTTATGATGTTTTAAAAAACACAGTTCTATCTTTAAAACATGATTTTACCAAACAGAGCTGGGCACCAACCCTCTGACCAATGCTGGAATTGAACTGGGAGCTTTTAATGGCTTATCAACCTTGTATATAGCAGAGGCCAAACTAACTGCTGTACTAAAAAGCCTAATAAAGTATTACTTAACATGCAACAGTGTTAGGAGACACTCATTTGCAAGAGAAGGCTGAATCACATTCAGATGTCTGATGGAAAACAGATACAACAGTACTTTTTCACAAGAACTACTTTCCATGGTTGGACAGCAGGTAGTCTCCCCTACGGAGCTGACTATTTATGGACAAGAAGTTCCTGCTCATGATTCTGCAACATTCAGAAAACAAAGTGTTGAATCCATCTAAAACACTGAGCCCAAGAAACGTAAAGACATTTTTAGTTTTTTGTCCCTTTAGAGGCTCCATACTTATGTGTAGTTGTGCGAACAAAAAGTGACAATGAAGCATCTAATTCAGAGTGTTCAGTCTTTGTGTCAAGCGTTCCAGTATTCCCTTGTGTTTCTTGTGCCTCGTTCTTTGGGTTACTGCTTTCCTTTTTGGACTTGTTTGCCTGTTTGAATGGATTTCTGTGTAACAAACTTTACAAGTAAATAACTGTTTTGCTGAGCTCTTGTTTGTTAAGTCGTGCTATTGAGTCCTTTACTCTGGTTCAGTTAATTGTTTGTGTCAATTTTTCAGGAGCCGTCTTCAACTGACTGATGATGGCAAACTGGTGGTGTACAAGGAAGCAGATGAACTTTGGAGCTCTGATAACTCCAAAGGCAGAAAGTCATGACATTGCAAGCCAACTGAATGCTCTGCAAGTGAAAGGCATGTTTGGATGTCAGTGTGAATTACAGTAAACCTGCCTGCCATGTAATCTGGAATTGTACTTAAGTACAAAATCGAGGTACTTTGCTTTAGTATTATCATTTTATGCAACTTTATATTTCTACTCCACTTCATCTGAGAGGCATATGCCGCATTCATATGCGTGTGCACAAAATCAAACTTGCACTTCCCAGATGCAGTAAAGTCTCTGGGCACCAGTCCAGACAATATATGGTCATTATGGCACTCCTCATAGCCATACATTATTTTAATATTAGATAATGATTATCTTGTCCCTCAGTCAAGGTTCATTTACAACTCTGTGATGCGAGATGGACAGCAATGGACTGGCATTGACGATTGACTGAATGCCTGTCCCTGTGTCTGATTACCCACCCACCTGTAGAGTATATATTCCCTGTGTTCCTTCCCTTCTGTGCCACTTCGTCTTTGTGTCAAGCATTCCAGTATTCTCTTGTGTTTCTTGTGCCTTGGTTTTTGGGTTACTCCTTTCCTTTTTGGACTTGTTTGCCTGTTTAATTGGATTTCTGTGTCCTGGACTTTGCAGGTAAGGAACTGTTTTACTGAGTCTTGTGTCTCAAGTCATGCTATTGAGTCCTTTATCCTGGTTCAGTGACAATAATTGTTTGTTTCAGAATCATGAGTCTGAACTTCCTGTCCAGAAATGATGAGCTCCGCAGGGGAGATTACCTGATGTCCAACAACAAGCAGTGGAAGGCTATCTTTCAGGTGAGTAAACCAGAATTTCTGCAGTGTAAAAGTTCAGCAAAATCCATAAATTTGTTTACTAGCGTGTCTTGTTTCTTCTTTTCTTTCTTTTTTACATATAATTTTATATTTGATGATGAGCCAAATATCTGTTTCTGGCTGCAGGATGATGGTAACTTTATCATCTACGGCTGGAAGCCTGTGTGGGCTTCAGACACTTATGGAACAGATGGTGTCCGCCTGGTCATGCAGGATGACTGCAACCTGGTCATGTACAACAAGGACGACCAACCCAGGTGGCACACAAACAGTTATGCCAAGGGTGATTTTAGGTGCCGTCTTCAACTGACTGATGATGGCAACCTGTTGGTGTTCAAGGAAGCAGATCAACTTTGGAGCTCTGCTAACTCCAAAGGCATGAAATGAAGTCATGACATTGCAAGCCTTTTTAAATTGAATGCTCTGCAAGTGAAAGGCATGTTTGGATGTCAGTGTGAATTACAGTAAACCTGCCTGCCATGTAATCTGGAATCAAATAAAAACACATGCTAACAATGTATAAATGTGTCTTTGCTCTCTTTGTGCTGTAAAATAGGCCAAACTCTGGCATTTGACGTCTGTCATTTAAAACTACATATATGATACAAATGTCAAACTTTAAAACACCAACTGTTGAATACATGAAATAGACACACTGCAGGATTTTATCTACATTTTCTAACTCAAAACAATTCAAACAGGGAAACTGAGTTGAAACCTGAGTTCTGTTATAGACAAGTTCAACTCTGTGGTAAAACTCAGATATTTAATCAAATAGTAGACGGATATTGCCTCTTAATTATTCAGATCTGAAAATTGACAAGTAAATAAAGCTGTCAGACAAATATAGTGGAGTAAAAAGTACAATATTTGCCTCTGAGATGGAGTGGAGACTAAATAGAAAGTTGCATTAAGTGGTAATAATAGTAAAGTACAAGTACTTCAGTAAATGTACTTAGTTACATTCCACCACTGTGAACTGGTAAATGTGGATACGTGGATCAGTGTGACTCTTGTGTGCATTAGCTGGTATATAGCTTTTTTACTCTCATGCTCCTACTTGGGACCACGTGGTAAAGTGAGTAATAAGTTTTTAAGACTCTAGTTACATCCTGGTTCTTCAATCTCTTACACTGTCAGCAGTTACTTCTTTAATTTTGTACCAAACACTTATAACTGTGCATTTTCTTTTTTTTAAGATGATTACTTCAACCCAATACCGATCCATTGTTTCCTCTTAGTTACTTTTCAGATTACATTTTTTCATACTCGATACAGTAACCAGTGAAAACCACAAATCTCTTTGTTGTTCTTTTATGTGTTGAGATTTTCTTGTTTCTTCAGTTAAAGGTTCAGTGTGTAACATTGAGGAGGATCTATATTAGTTGCATCTGAAACTTCACGGCTAGATGTCACTAAATCCTACAGACTGGTCATTTCAATTTAAAAACCCTCTTGGATTTAGCTGGAAAATGCATCGTCACACAGCTCTCTCAACCACCTCTTGATGCTTTTGTTTTTTTTACTGTAACTTTACAGAGGATGGACTGTGACACTGTGTAAGATCTGGTATTTGTTGCATTTTTGTGCCCCCAGTTTCAGAGTGCAATACCACCATCGTAGATGTGGACAGCAGCACACATGCATTTGTGAAGATTATATTACTAAAAACCAAAAACCAGCAGGTTGAAAACTCAGCTCAGCCAAACATCTAACAAAGTGCAACAACACAAGACGAAGGAAGCCAGATAATATTACTGACTAGTCCAACGGCAAGAAGGACAACTTTTCATCCGTCTTGCAGCCAGTCCCACATTTATTCTTGTTCAACGGCTTCTTGCTTGGTCACTCCCTCCTTTTATCTCCTGAGATTCCTCCATTAATGTCCTCTTGGGTCTCTTTGCCTCTGCCATGTCTGCAAAGCCTGCTGAGCTTGGTTCTGGCACAACACTGGGCTCCACTGGTTCTCCTCTGTCCAAAGCTCCTTTGCTGGTATAAATATGCCAACACTTCCTCTGTGTTTTGAGCTACCAGTCCAGGACTGAGCTAACTAGCTTTAACTTACTTTTAAGCAACTAGTGAAGTTCTCTGTCCACCAGGAAACTAAATCACAGAGAGTTGAGGCAGAAATTATAAAAATATAAAAAATCAAAAAATAATAATAATTTTTTAACTACTGCTTCATGTATAATTAAAATAAAAAACACAGTTCTATTTTAAAACGTGTATTTATTTTGGTCAAAGGTGCAAACGGTTAATAAGAAGAGAGCCGGATTCAGGCCTTCATTTGTTGTCTGGCTGTGAATAACAAAGACTATATAACATGATGATATATTAATACTGTATAGAAGCTGCTGTTGTTGCTAAATATGATGTTATTAATGGGAATATTTTCAGAAATATGGAGCTTTTCCTGTCGTACTTAAACACTGAAGTGTCTCTCCTGAGTTTGAGAACCCTGTTTAACACTTAATTAACTACTGTGCCAGTAGCTACATCTCCCTTTTTCCCCTTTTCTGATAAAAAAAGAGAGAAAGCTGCCAAAAATAAAGATGCAGCACTACAGACTGATTATTTATATAAGGAATCTTTTTGTTATAGTGATGATAAGAGCAGATTTTCACACCGAGTACCATAATTGTAGTTATTTTGATGTTGACTACGACTCATTGTTATGTTGGTGGCTGCTCTGCTATTGCTGCCATTCCTGAAACACCATTTTATGCCCTGGACGTGGCTCGTCTAGACAGCGCCATTGTCTGCTCTGCTCCTTGTGCCAAGAGTAAATCTCATTAACGGTGAGAGGAACTGGCAGAACAGAGGCTCACTTGCTCACAGCCTCTCTGTGAGTACTGTGTGCTAAATATAGAGGAAGAGGGTGATTACTATATAGATCTGTGATTATAACTGAACTGCTAACCAGTGCAGATATGATACTATTTCCACTGAGGTGCTTAGAACATGAGATAAAGCACCATATGGAGTATATGAAAATTATAAAAAGATGTATTTCTCATTACAAACAATCCATCAAATGTAAATATTATGACGTAAACATACTTCCTTCTGCAAATTACCTTCCTACATGATGACTTGTGTTACAGCCTTCTTTTGCTCCAGAGGTATTTTCAAGCCAGAACCACTAGATGGCAAACAAGGTTTATATTAAAAAACAGTTCACATGAAGTAACACACACCTCTGCTTGATACTTGGAAATACAGACTGAGTACCGTATTCTTTCTGGATTGGGCTCAAAAGGATATAAACTACAGACAGGCTGTTGCAGTTTTTAAGGCTGGGATTTATCACTCTCTTTAGTATTTCAGGAAATTATGTGATGCAAATACAGTTTTTCATATAAATAACTTAACTAAAAGTACATCATAAACAGAGCAGGGCTACACGAGATTCTGTGTCCATTTCATGAACTATGGTGAAAATCTAATTAAGCTTAAAGCAGCCATTGTTGCCCTGAAAGGACCAAAGACACATCTAAATGTCCCAGAAATGTCTCTGTAAACATCTTGTTTTGTCCTTTGTAGTTTGCATTTAAATATTTATTTTCTAATATGGTTTCAGTAATGTGTAGACATCTTAAAATTATAATTTTCTTCAAGGCAAAATATTTAATTTAGTTTTGTCTCATATCCATTCTATCACATGTCAGCTTCATTAAATGCCCAGAGACCAGTATTCCTAGACTGGATTAACTCTACCTTGACCCCAATTTAATTAAACTTTATTTAGTAATGTGGGCCATGTGAGCACAGCATAAACTAAAATAATTAAGACAAAATGTTGTCCCCTTTACAGCACAGAGCTGCCACAACCCACTTTACCTGTGTTTCTATTTGCCATTAACAGCATGGCCAACAGTAAAGCAGTAAATCTGGGGTGTTTGGGGCCCCTGGGAATCTGGAGCTGTGGGGCAGTAGCCTGCTATGTAACAGTTGTAGTCGAGCAAGGAGCTGTGATGTTAACTTGGTAATTTCCTCTATTCCTCTAATAGATTACATTATCTTTATAGTCTGATGAATCTAACATGTTTTACTTTCTCTAGCTTCTAGGCTTCTTATACATTGTCATTTTCTATTAGTTTAAATATGTGTAGGCCTATGAATTTATTATCATTATCAATACATCTATACTATACTATACTGCACATTAACTTACTGCAGGGTTTTGCAGACAGTCTTCATTGTGGGCGACAAATCTGGAGGTTTCAGTTGCCAGCAGCACCTTCTGCTGAACAATTTGAGCAACTCTAAACCGCTCCAGACATTCAGGGCTCATATCCTAATCCATACAGAAAATCTTTTCCAACACAATAAGTCTGTAAAATATAAAATCAGCCAGTAATTACTGGCCTGTCCCTACACTTTCTGATGCTCCTACTTCTTTCTTCAAGACTTTTCCCACAACTGGTGCTTTCAAAGACCCTCCAAACACAGCCACATTAAATCACAGGCCTTCCTTATTAAGATACAAAAGCCCCTTTCTGTTTTTATTAACATATTAAACAGCCAGGCCCTTGTGGTGCCCTGCTCTGGTTTAGGTTCTGGTGGTTTTATGGTACTGTGTACAGTGTTCTGGTTTTAAAAGCAGATTTTTGTTGGTTTGGTTTAAGGTTTTAAACAACAAACACTTAACACACCTGTACTGGACATACTGAGAGAAAAAATATGATATAAAATCTAATAAAGTAAAAACTGCACATACATGATGTTAGACATGATATCATTAGATTAATGTTAAGATTTAATATATCTTATTTCCACAGTGGTCCTAGCTATCAGGATAAAAAAGACTGCTGTGTTCAGGGGGCAACAGCCAGAGGCGTAGCCAGCATTCCCTCCATACTAGAGTCCGAACATGACAGGAAATTGGCTTGTTAGTACCATGGAAGGATTACTTAAGGGCCCGGAGCCCCTGAACCAGAGTATACGCAATGACTGTTGACATTTCTGGTTGGCAAGTCAAGTCAAAGTCAGAAAAAGTAAGCAGAATGACTAGAAAGGGACACAAAATTAACAAAAAAGATGCAAAATGACAACAAAAACATGCAAAATAACTACAAACATTATGTAGTAGTTGGGTGTCTAACTCTGGGTGGGGGGCCTTTTTATGTTTCTGTGTCCAGGAGCCCATCAACTCATAATCTGCCCATGGATCTCAGCTATGAAATTACAGTTAACAGCTATTTTTTATAACATTTAATGTTGTTTTCTGACATTCATTTATTACACTGACTTAATTGTTTATATTGTACCGCCAAGAACCTGCACTTTTTGTTTTCTTATTTTAAATTTGAGACACACTTTTACTCATTGTGCCCCCTCTCTTTTTTTCACTACAGCTTCCAGACAGGCTCAGTTTTCTTTCTGTGCCACCCACATCCACTGTGCGCACATACTGGGCACCTTACGGTACTCCATCTGTCTCCGCACCGTGCCCGTCAGGAGCCCACGGCGTCAGATCCAGCAACACCGACAATGACGCGTGTGGAAGATGGTCGAAAAATGAACTCTGTGCTGTAAAAACAGACATCTGGTGGTGGCTGAGGGGGGGTCGAGCAGTGGATCATTTTGCCTCAACGACTGAGCCTTTCCTCTCTGGTTCGGTGTAAAGAAAGGATTTCGCAAGCTTTGTTGTTTTGCATGCAGCCGACAGGGCGCATGAAGTCTGGGGTATATTTTTCCACCCCGTTCAGTTTCTGCCCTCTCAATGCGCTGCAGCTTTTTATCTGAAGGAGGTGTGGTGACTGACTGAGGAGTGCCACTCTGAAGCAATATCCATGTTTCCCTGCAGGATGTTTTGAGCGCCAAGAGGGTTTGTGAGCGGCTGGTGTCGTCTGGGGGGGTGTTGGTGTTGGTGTTGGTTGGTGGGGGAGTTTCTTCACTGCGCAGACGAGCGGCGGACAGTCTGCGCTACCGCTCCTCGTCTAGTCTGATCCGACAACAACAAGCACACAACAGAGCATTCAGGAGGGGGAAAGGGAAGCTCAGTGGAGTGGGAAATCTGGAAATATACGGCGTGAAAATGACGATGTCCGTCCCGGAGAGGAAATCAGGATCGGAGGGGAAGGAAGAGGAGAGCGAGGATGAGAGTGAGATCTTGGAGGAGAGCCCGTGTGGTCGCTGGCAGAAGCGTAAAGAGCAGGTTGGTTGGTGGTTGAATGTGTGTGTGTGTGTGTGTGTGTGTGTGTGTTTTCTTTAAAATGCATCCTCGATCAGGATATAAATCAATGAAGTAACCCTCTTTTGGTCACGCTGGACATCCTCTGTTACGCAATTCTTGAGCCAGGCCGAGGTTTTTTATTGCCCAATGGTGTTTTATTTATTTATTTTTTTGCACCATCCCACCATAAACCTGCCACAGTGACATATGCGTTGATCTGCTTAGCCCACTTAGTCTGTTTCAGTGGGACAGGAATAGTTTGGTTATTTCACCCCACCTCCTCACCTCTTCTTTGCCTGGAGGATTTCTGTTGATCCTGACACTGAACTCCGGGACCTGGACTTAATGATGTACTCTTGACTCCTAATTCAGGGTTGCAAATCACACTAACACACCGAGGGCGTGTAAACAAGTCTGACTCCTTCAGTTTATAACCAGGATTGAAGCTTGAATTACATGTTGTACCATAAAGAACATGCAGGTATAGCAGGAAAAATATTGCTTTATTCAAATTAAAGGGCATCTAATCAATTATAGAAATTAATAAAATAGTCAACTGGCGACTATTTGAGTCACTTTTAAAGCTAAAAGGTCAAAAACATTTGCTCATACTGTTAAATGTCAGTATATTTTTTTGCTTTTATATCATTGTAAAGTGGGTATATTGAGGTTTTGGACAGCCAATATGAAGGTGGTTGGTGATGTTTACCACATTTTATAGGCTGAATGAATCAATTAAACAAAAAAACAGTCAAAACAAATAATGAAAATAATTGTTAGCTGCAGCCCTAGAACAAACTATTAATCAATTATTGATATTTCTGCCTGTTATTATCTTGATAATTCCATTTAATCTAAAACACAAAATGTCAGAAAACAGTGAAATGCTTCTTTTTAAAATTGTTATTTGACTGACTGAGGGTCCAAAGTTTACTATCACTAAAGAAAATTCACACAATTTAGAACCTGCAACCCAGAAATGTACATTTTTGATTGATCAATAGGTTTTAGGGCGCCCTGGTAGCTTGTTGGTCCCATGCCCCATGTACCAACGCTGAGTACTTACTGCAGCAGCCCGGGATAAAGTCTGACCTCTGGCCCTCTGCTGTCCCCTCTCTCTCTCCCCATCTTAAGCTGTCCTATCATATAAAGGCAGAAACAAACATTGCTTTCATGATTAATGGGTATTTGCTGATCAAATTTCCTGTTGCAGCACCAGAGAAGGTTCAGACAACCTCATTTAAAGGCTTCTGTGTTTGTGAAAGAAATAATTACAGGATAACTCGTTCTGCTTTTAATATTATTGAACGGGCCCTTACTGCTATATTTGTGTCCGTCCAGATAATACATTAGCACCACTACAGATAAATAACTCATTGGCCTAGCTTGAAGCGACTTCTCCCATAAATAATCTCATGTTTGTTTCATGTCAACATCAAAGACATAAAAGGCAGCACGGCGTTCTCTGACATTCAACGTATCAGCGGCCTTGTTGAGACCGGAGCCTTTCCACATGCTCCATGTGAGGAATATGTAAGACATTTACCCAAAAGTTCACTTATTTTTAGAGAGAAGAGACATCTGATCTGAGTGGCTCAGCAATTGTGAAGCAGTGGGTGTTGCCTCCTCCTACAGCTGCAGATAAGGCTGAGAATTTAAGTTGAAGGTTATCTCTTGAACACACACAGTGTCCCCTGCACGCCACAACCCACCTGACCTCACTGTGTGTGCGTTTGAGCATCATTCATGCACGACACACGCAAATGCTCACACCCTGGTGTTTTTCCACTCATTGATTACCCATCTGTATGTTTTCTGGCCTACTGTCACATTTCCATTAACCCTCCACTGAGAGCAGCAGTCATTCAAGGCTGGTTGCTATAGTAAAAAAAAACATATTTGAATATCAATATGTGTCGGGCTCTACGACGTAGGGTGTTAGAGTGGTCTAACTGTAATAGTTAATAAGGAATAATTTCCTGATGTCGGCACAAAAATTTGTAGCTCCACTTTATATATTTATTTATATATTTAGTTATATAACAGTATATATTTACTGTTTAAGTTTGCTTGGAATCATTTAATGTGTCAATTTTATGTCAATCTTTGGTAATTGACTAAAACGGCCATCAGAAGACCCTAAACCTCCAGGTGCTGTCTTCAAATTGCTCATTTGTCCAACCAATCAAAAAAAATTCAGTATTCAGTTTTTAGAATGACATAATGCAGACAAAATCCTCACATTTGAAAACCTGTAACCACATTTTTTAAGCGTTTTTGCTTCATAAATTTTTTTATTTTTTAACTTTTAGCTCAAACGACTAATAATCACATAATGATACACTACTTAAACGTTGCAAGTAATGATTATTTTCTTGATTATTAAAAAATCAAATCTGTGAAATCTCAGAAAACGGTGAAAAATGTACCAGAAAGTACAACTTTAAGTCATAAAACTGCTTATTTTCCCTGTAGAACAACCCCAAAAGCCCAAAAATATTTTATTAAACGGTTTACTGTCACATATAACTTAAGAAAAGCAGCAAATCGTCACTATGGAGACGTTGGAACAAGGGCATGTTTGGCATTTTTACTTGATGAATGACTTTAAACAACCAACATTTTTGTTAATGAATCTTTTATCATGAAGGCTTTCACTTAAATGCTCACCTTGACATAGCTCACCCAGTGATCGTGCACACTTAGCACTGAAGAGGCTTCTTTTTTTTTAATGACGGGAAACAAGAGGCAAAGCATTCGTCTCTGTTGCCAGGTTTCAGCGTCTATACATGTTTGATCCAGACTGTCACAAACAGAATGAACCCATGTGACACATCTTCTCTGCGGGGACAAGCTGAAGCACTTACTGCTCCGACAAGTTAAAACCAGAGCTGCTGTTGACAGATTCTGTGACATCATACAGACTCTTAACATCACAGTAGTTACATGAAATCATCAAAAAACATGTTTCAGTGCAAACTTGTTTTGATGCGTACGTGTTGGATGTCTCCTTCCATCCTACAGGTCTGGGTGTGTCTTGAGCGGTGGGTTTGAAATGTACATGAAGAAAAAACGTACATGAAGAGTAAATAAGTCAGTGGGTGAAAGTTCAGGATACACGCTGCCGTATCTGTTATTCAGCTCAGGCATTAAAATAAACACAGTCACATGGCCAGCACATTGTTGCCTTGTTTTCTCAGCAGACATGCAGGCGGGATTCGTTTTACATTTTTTAAACTGGATGAACGTGTTGCCTTCAAAGTCAGTTCATCCCTCTTGACTCAACACAACTCAGCATTGATTTTTTTTTTCCTGAGTGGTGTTGGTGTGATTGGAAAGCACAACAGTGTGAGCTGAAACATAACAACTGTAAAGCCTTCTTTCTCATTGTGGTTTATTGGTGAGAAAATCCTTTCTGGCTCTGATGTTTGTGTGAAAAGCAACAGAAAACATTCCCTGAAGTCACACCACGAAATGACCCGAGAAATTAATTAAACAGAAGTTGGTGGTTTATCAAATTATTTTCTTTCCACATAAATTTAAATGGGTGGACAATTGTTCGCAGTGTGACATACACATACACGTGAGAATATTATTATTTCTGATTTTCCCTCCAGGATTTCACCAGCTTTTTAAATTATCTTATCTTTTTAACTATAGATAGTTGCGGTCATAAATGCCTGATTTAATGGCAGCTTTTCTAAAAGACTGCGATGTATGTTGCGTGAGAAAGTGAAAAGTGCAGAAATAGTTGTGATTGTTTTTGTATAATTCATTAAAAATCCCTGGCAACAGTGAGAGTAAAATAGTAGTTTGGTGGCGTATTGACTGGTGATGATGCAGAAGAATTGCTGTGATTGGACAAAATAGCAAAGTCACACAGAATTCACAAAGATTGGTTGAATTTGTTGTGATCTCAACTTCCTGGAGGGACTGTCCGAGGGGGGGCCCCACTGTGTGCTCTAAAGAGTGATTGCTGTAACAGCACAGAGGGAGTTACATCCACCAAAGGGACACAGTCCACCCCAACCTGTCACACTGGGCTCTTTTATCACAGTCCAGCCTGGACAGAAGATTAACCCCGCCCCCCCCTCCTGTGATCTTTACTCTATATTGCAGCATAGTAGACCTCCTGAAGTGAGTCCACACCCACATCCATGCGGTGGTGCACAAGCAGCACAGTACTCATTCCAGTAATTGCTCCATCTTCTATTTCAAGGACCTGCCTCCATCTGCTCACATAGAGATGAAAATGAGGCAGCCTGGGACGGGCAAGACTGCAGCAATTTGTCATGGTGTTAATTCACAAGCACAGATGAATATGTGAGGTTGAACGTGATGGGAAGATGCTGCTTTCTGCACTTGAATGTTAACCGAAATCCCATACATGTGTCAGCGATCACATGCATGTGTCAGGGTTGAGAAAACTGGAGGCACTGGCACATAAGGAGTGAGCAATATGTTAAAAATTACATCCCAATAGGTCTTTTTCACAAGAGACATTTTGACATGTCACAGTAAGAAAAACACAGGTGTAAATAATATAATTAATAATGGCTGAATTCCATTTAACTGCTGTGGTTTCAGGGTCCTGGTATTGTGCATTCTGACTCGCATGAATAGAACAGAGCCATTGTTGTGCTGTGAAAAAAGGCCTGTATTGATTACAGCAGTATCGTTTATCATGTAATTATTTGTTGATATTCAGGGTTTCTCCCAGGAAATTGTGTAGCAGAGGTGGAACTGCACACCGCCCAGATCCTGACTCATCTACTGGTCAGTTTAGTGAGTAGATAGAGCCACGCTCATAAAACATTGTGTTATGTGTAAAAATTAAACTTGTCTTTCATACAGCTGCTGACACAAGTGACGTAGGATGTCAAAAAAAGTCTGTCTTGTTTCTTTCTACCAAAGTTATGTCTTTGTATTGAAGTTTTGTCTCATTAATCGTCCAAAATCAAAATATATTCAATTTACAAGGA